AAGAATTTTGGCTGAACATAGACAATATAATATATACTTTTTTTATATAATACATTCCAACGAGCTATTTTATCATAAACTATTTTACTTGTAAGAAAATCAGTTAAATCAATAACGACAAGGCGACGTAATCTCTTAAAAGTGCATTGCCTTGGGGATAACAATAATTATGCATAGTGCGAGTTAGATACAATCCAATTACATACACATATGTAATAACATTGCGTCGTTGAACACTAAAACGATTCAAACATCTTCAATAGTGAATTAATAGCATTTTCGTATTCGTTCAATTCATCAAGAATAATCCTATTACCATGAATGAATGAAAGACTATTGAAGGTGAAACAATTGAATGATCAATCCTTTTTCCTTTTATTATTTTATTATTACTCGGGCTAGGTCAAAAGTTTTTAGATGATTTTCTTTTTTTTTTGTAAAATCGATTATTTCTTTCCCAAGACCTTTTATACCAATTATATATTTTCGTTTTATTTGTTTTTTAAGTCATTATGAAACTACAAAGAACTTTTTGGCTTATGTAAAAACTTTGGACTAATCCAACCAACCATGTGTATCCCATCGAGTCTACTTAAAACCATTCTAAACTTCATTTTTTGAACTCCTTAATTGATTTGTTCTAATTCTCGAATTTTAGAATAACAACTCTGTTGGCTTTCATGAATTTAACGAAAATTGTTTCTTTTCATAAAAAGAAATAAAGAAATTATTGTTATTTCGAATTAATTTAACGCACTAGAAACGCACGGATATTTGTATCAGGTGCGTTCAAAATACATTTGACACATATATACATTTACTTAACGTACATATTCATATGTAAATCGAATTTATTCATATATATATTATATACACATGCACATATAGATGAATAGGTATACATAGAAGTTTATAAAAGGAATATATATACATAATTGCATACGTTGCACACGCAAGGTTCGTGGTTCGTTAATGGAGGCACGCTTGGAAAGAACATGCCGGGTTTCTGGCCTCCTAAAGAATCTTGTCCCGTATTACGCCTTTGATTAAAACTGATGGACTGTTGCCGAACGAACGAACGAACGAGCGGTCGTTTCGTTCGTTCCCTTTTCTTTATTACTTTCAACAACTTTTCGAATTCATATTTCTTTTCTTAATATTTCTTAATAAACAAATCAATTGTTAAAAAATTTTATAAACTTTGTAAACAGAATACATGTCAATGTATATTTATTAGGTTGTTCTTAAATTTCGTGCCGATTTTAATGGAAGATTGAAATGCAATCCCATTTAAGTTTTTTTGTTGTTATATATTTATTAAATAATAAATATAACTATATATATATTAATAATTATATAATTATATATATAATTATAAAAAAAAATAATAATATGATATAATAATAAATATAATAATATAATTACTTCAAAATTTCGTCTTTCCAAAACTTTTCAGGTTTCTTAGCAAAAGAACTTTAATGCCATCTATCGAAAATCGACACGAACTTTCCGTACAACCCAATATTTTATAATTTATTTTTTACAAGTATGCATATATTTTATTAATTAGGTAATCTTTTTACACCATGTTTAACTCATATGTGTCGTATAATTTCAATGGGGATAAAAATATTTTTTTTTTTTTTACAGTAGTATCTTATTGATGTAATATATTTTTGAAGTAAAGTAATGTAGTGGGGAAAACTGCATTTCCGTTTCTTTGTTCGTACTTATCGTATAAATTAATTATTTATAAATATGTCATTGCGCAAATAAGAGAAGTTTTCTCGATTAATTTGTTTCTTTTATTGTAATTCGATTAGTTGCGAATGAAAAAAAAGAAAAGATAACAAATGTTGAAGAATACAATGTATGTATGTATATACTTACGTTCAGAAGACTTTTGCTGTTAACGGAATTATAAATTAAAGTATTTAGATTGGACGTTTTAACGCTTGACGTACCAGAAAATTTTCTACAAAAGGTAGAACGAAATTTAATTAGTGTTTCGCTTAATCGCGCGGCAATAAATTGAATTCTTTTATCATTATTTATAATTGACGAAATAAAGAAAATCATAGGAATGATTTATCAAACGATAACCAATTGAAATTAAATGCACACGATAAGAGCGGTAAAACGGAATTCTCTTTAGAAAAATTGAATAATATAAACGAGTTATATTATGTATATCGATGATCTTCTATTGATTTTTAAAATGTCTTTCAACATTATTATCATTTCTCCGCAGTTAAAGAATTTTTTGGCCGATTTACAAATACGAATCATCATTATCGACTGACACCAATCTTTATCGCCTTGTAATTTTTATCCCACACATTTGTTATCATCGTTTACGAATAAAATCATCATCGATGATACACCCGATCGATCGATTTTCGACAAAGAAAATTCTTTCCAATCGTAATTTATTTATCTAATTAATCTTGAATAGTAATATAGTTGTAAAAGTAATCAAAAATTTCAAGTAATTAAATCTAGTATATAATAAAAGTGTAAATAACAAAATGAATCCAATTAAATGTATAGAAATCTCAACTGTTTCACACATTGATGGTTTTACTTGGCTCGTTAGATTCTAAAAGAATTATAGTTTTAACGAGAAAAAAAGATAGATTAAAAAAAAACAATAGTTATCTTGAATAGTTAATAAGCGAAATAAAGCGATTAGAATGAATTTACAAATAAGTATGAAATGAAAAAACGTGACTCTAATTCGAAATGTGTTAGGATTAGTCCATGTGGAATAGCGCGTATTTGATAGATACTATATATGTATATAACGTACGTGAACGTATCCGGGCTCTCATCCTAAATAGGTAATCCAACCTCAATATCCACTGCTAGGAATCGCGCCACGATGCACCAGAAAACTGGAGTATCTACTTGTAAACTTCATGCTTTTTATCTATTAACGATTAAAAACTTGCAACTTGATCTATTATTGATCGTCTAATATCCAATGACGTATTTAATGGTTTTTTTTTCCTTCCGTTTTAACTTACTTATGTACTTATACTTTAAATATCATTAATATATAAGAAGATAATTATAGCTCTTAACTTTTTTTTTATATTATATATAACATTTTTTTTTCAACCGTGCATCATATTTTATACAAAATCCGTGCATATATACGCCATATACGAACGAGTAATCGATAGTTACCTCCATAGCTTCGAGATATCTTATGGCTGTCTTTCTAATGCTGATGTAATCTCACGTAGATTTTCACATTCTCCCTATTTCGAAATTTAATAACTGAAATTTTATAAATCAAACAATATTTATCACAACTATTATTAATTTCACCCCGAAAATTTGTTTAAAATTTCATTTATTTATTTCGTCAATTTTTTGTACCAAAGAATCAAAATAATCCTTTGCTATATAATATTTAATATAAATATCGAAAAGAGTAATGTCGATGTCAACAACGACACCGATCTAATTACACGAATAAAGAAAAACGTGACTTATTTTTTATTTATATTCATTTTTGTTGAATACGCAAGGTAGAGAGAAACGCAGAATATTTCAGCGTGTTGCATTTCTTCGTCGGCACAAATACACGCACACGTATATACATATGCGCGCGCACACATTTATTCGCAAAGCGCAGACAAGTATCACGCGACTAACCCCCCCAATATTACCTATACTTGTGTTTGTGCAAAGGCCCATATATATAGGGCCTCTTTCCTCGGGCGCAGGCTTACAGCATTCGTGACTTCTACCGCGAGCAAATCAAATCGTATTGTCTGTTCCGATCTCGAATTCACCCCCCTTCAAAAAGGATTACCTTATACTTGGTGCTTTTATCGTGTTTTTCTATCCTTCGCATATTTCATATATATATATATATATATGTATATAAATATATTTATAAATATTCATACATTGGTGATGTATTTCTGAAAGCAAGATAATCTAACAAAAAGAAATAAATTTATCCTTCAAATTGTAGTGATTTTTTTTTTAAACTCAAATTCTTATCAATCTTAATAAAAAATTTACATAACAATGATAGATTATTAAATATAACATGTATGAATTTTAATTGAAAATAAATAAACAATTTAACTAGTAAAAAATAAAAAAATAAGAAAGGGAGACGTGAAAGAGGATCGAACCAGGAGACCTGGTATTCTCTCGTTTGTGGTGTGCACAAAAGTAAAGAAGAAAGAAGAAGAAAAGGGACGCAAAAGTGGTCCATTCGTGAGAGAATACTGCATCATTGTGTTCTCTTAAGAGATACCGTTCGATCAAGAAAGATCGACGAGCGTCTAAAGAAACAGTCAGTCAGTCAGTCAGTCAGTCGATTATCGTTTAGAGAACGCCCGGTTTACTGTGTTACTGCTATTGGTTCGTTCACTGTGTGCTAGGGGAACTTGACTCGTGTAAAAAAACTTGCTTTAGTCGGCGGACGATAATGAGTAGGAAGGGAATGAGGATGGAAACTCGGAAGAGCTTTCATCGATAGTAATAAGGATATCGTTATGCTGTACCATCGAGTTACGAAGTGAGGATTAATAATTGTGCTATTTTAAATTGTCAAGGATTTATCGATAAAAATATTATTTAACAAACAAACCAAAAAATACGAAAATACAAATTGATTTAACGATTAGCTCGTTGGCCTCTTTGCGATTCATTTGAATCTTAAACATAAAAAAAAAAAAGGGGAAACGGAAAATATTGCTGCATCAGTTTTGCATGGAAATTAGTGTGTATAGTATAGGACAAAATACGTGAACGGTTAAACTGAAATAGAAATAAATACGCATACATGCATATAGACATACGTGCGGCAAAAGAAAAAAAACGTTTATCAATAATGCAGCCCTTCAAGAGGTCATACTTCTTCCTCCACCATTCGAATGGTTCCACGTGCGCAAGGCTACTTTGGCTGCTATCGTTCATTGCGATCTTCGTTTCTACTATCGAGATAGATCATCGTAACAGCCACCAATTTTCAGGTACACAAAAATGCAGAGAAAGCGACTTCAAATGTACCAGTGGCAGATGTATACCTGGGATATGGCATTGCGACGGGGAAAATGATTGTGATGATGAGTCCGATGAAGATCCTAATGTTTGCAGTGAGTTTTTATTCTTCTTTTCAATCACATGTTATACTCCTTCATACTTTATTTATTTTTTTAATCGATAATAGTGGAATCATACGATTTTGTTCTGTCGCGAAAAATTTTGTTACATAATTATTTTCTCTCTCTCTTTCTCTCTTTCGTTTGTATTTTCTTTTTTAAATACACACACATATATATTATACTAACTTACGTATAATGAACGGTACAAAGTCCAAAAATTTCATATTCATACTTAAGTATTGTATATCTTCTCTTTGAAATGAATTAATAGCATTAATATATTATAATAATGTTGATAAGTATTCGTGCGAATGTTAAAATGTTTTTGGATTTCAATGGTAATTTATAATGTTAAAACATACAATAGCCCTTACGCAATTCGTTAGATTTATTTTTAACTTTTATTAGTTATTTTTTGTAAATTAGGTTTTATTTTTTTTTTTTTTTTGAAATTATTTTATTCAAAATTGCGATATATTCAAAATAAATCAATTAAAATTGGACAATTTATATAAATAACGTGATTATCCATAAAGAATGAGAGAGAAAGAAAAAAAGAGAAAGAGAGATAAATGTCGAAATTTGAAAAGGATGTTGTTTTATTGGGATAGCATTACATTCGGTTTAAACAGGACACGAAAATCCTCTCGTATTTTATGGTAATTGTATCGGTTATTCTATCGGGAGCACCACCAATTCGAATTTGATCGTACTCTTCGTATTCTCGGGAATAAAATTCGTTTTTCCATTTTTATTTCTTTTTTTTGTTATATTTCTCTCTCTCTCTCTCTCTCTCTCTCTCTTTCCCTTTTTTCTCTTTGCTCCCGTAAGTTTACGGTGTCTTCCCCCCCCCCAAAAAAAAGAAACAGAAGAAGATCGATCAAGAAATTTGAAAACGTCGTCATTCGGAGTAGCACACGTTTCACGAATTTCTTGCGACGGTGACTGCGGTATGTGAAAGTGCAACTTTAACGACCGGTTTTACGCAGGTGAAGTAGCATACATACTTACGTATAATACTACGTATACTGTCGTTGAAAAGTTTCTAGATATAATGACAAATCTTTTTTTCAATGTATTTAATTATTTCTAAGTTATTATTTATCATTATATCTCGATATAATCTCATAAAATCTCAAAAAAAGTTATTAAAAAAATATTGAAAAAACTACTTGAAAATATTTGTATAATTTTGATTTTGAAAAATTCTTGAAAGAAAATAAGTGAAATAAAAATAATTTCATCAAAATTCTAATTCATCAAAGAGATTACACTTTAAAATTAGTTCAAGCAATTTTATAGGTGGTATTATTGTCGCGTTGATATAACGTAATGGAGATCCTGTTTCTCGGACGGTTAATTTAATATTTCGTCAGCATAGTAAACCAACCGATAATCAGGCAAATGTAATATGATATTGGAGTGTGTCGCCATTATTTTTTGCTTAAGTTCGTGTGCTTATCCAAATGAAAATGAAAACAATGGAAATATTTCCGAACATATATTTACTATTCTAATGTGAACTATCAAAGGTTAATGCGTATTTCGATGCACGTGTTAATATTATGGGAGCAGAGAGAAATCGGGTAAAATATTTTATCAAATCGTTATCAAATTTTGAATCAAATTTCTAATCTTAAAATCATGCATCATTAAATTTAGTACGAAATGTGTATTGGCGTAAGTATGATTAATATCTTGAAAGTATTATCATGTAGATTATCTTTTTATTTTGATACAAATACATTTCATTAATTACGTTTTCACATTGACATTGCTAATATCGTATTTGACTTTCAAAAGAAAGTCATTGAAGACGCGCATGAATTAACTTAAATAAAATTAAATGTGACGTTTGAGAAGAACCACGAGAGTGCAGAGAGACTGAATTCCAATGCAGTCCAGGAGAATGCATTCCAAATAGTTGGGTATGCGATCATCAAAACGATTGTCGTGACAGTTCCGATGAAAAAAATTGTACTAGTAAGTTATATACGTCTAAAAAAACATTTTATCTTAGGATAGAAAAGCACTGGAAGAAAAACATGGAAGAGAATAAAGGAAAGAAATCAATGCTTGGGAAAAAAAGAACGAAAGACACAGATATGATTATTATCTTATATATAAGCGTACAAATACCATTTATTGTATTTATGTGATTTCCGAAAGAAAATCATAAATATAAATATACTATATTTAAAAAAAAAAAAATGATGCAAATTAGGAGAAAACGAGAAAAAAGAGATTAAACTCAACGACAAATTTAAATTGACGAAAGCTCACCATTTTGATAGAAAAAGACAAATTTTTAAATAAAGCGGGCAAAATGGCTTTGCTAAAAAACGAAGTTCCTTGGGTGATGCGCATGCAATTGAAATCACGGTTATCGTATGTGTAACATGTAAACATCGTCAAATTTATTGTTGTCACCTTTTAGGATTGAAGAATTGCACCGCGGAACAATTTACTTGTCGTTCGGGAAATGGCGAGTGCGTGGCATTAACATGGATGTGTGACGACAATCCGGACTGTTCGGATGGTTCAGACGAAGCTGAATGCAGTAAGCATTCGCACGTGGGCCATGCTTTTTGTATTTGTATTTGTTGTTGTTTCCTTCTCACTCTGCACTCGGTTGCACTCTCCCACCCCCCTCCTCCATCCCTCTCTCAATGCATCTTTCTCTCTCTATTTCTATTTCTATCTCTATTTCTATTTCTATTTCTATTTTTCTCTTTTTGTTTCATATAGTTGTCCTATATGTGTGCATGTTTATATATATTTGGGTTGGCAGCTTTGCAACCGTTGCACGTTGCACGTTGCATGATAATTAACGTTTGTTGTAGATATCGCGAGTGAACGTTATTTTTATTTCTTTTTTTTTTTTAACTTTTTTTTTTAGTACCATGGATGCGTTTCAACAGGTCCCTTTAGCGCAATTTACATGCAAACAAGATCGTGCGCTGTTTTATACTTTCGAGTTTCATAAAGACGCGTTTTTTTTCTCTCTTTCTCTCTCCCCTTTTCCCCCCTCCCTATTTCTTCCTCTCTCTCTCTCTCTCTCTCTCTCTCTCTCTGTTTCTCTCTCAACCCTTTTCCATTTTTTTTTCTTTTAGTCGCGTAACAAGCGTGTATGTATCAAGAGGTTGGAAGTAAGTACTTTTTTTTCTTTCTTTTTTCTTTCCTTATTTCGTTCTTTCTTCTCTTTTATTCCCTGGAGACTCTTATTTTTTTTTCGATTTTACCGTTGGTAATTCTTTCGAATAATCGACCGCATGCAGCCTTAACATTTTTACTACGCGTTTTCCCGAATATCTTTTTCTATCCTAATAGCCTATGAAAGAAATAAATTATTTTATTTTTCAATTGGAGATATTTATTTAAGATTCATGTTTTAATTTGTATTTTTCAACTAAGAAAGCTTATTTTTCATGGAATTTATTATTATTATATTTTTGTAATGATATTTGATGCTATATTTAATTTAATGATATATAACGTATGCTAGATTTGCATCATATAATTAAATTAATATTGAATATTCGCTTGATTACATCGTATATAGAATTATCGAATATTAATTCTCTATGTAAAAATTCTTATCCACACATATTCGATACATGATATGCATAAGTTACAGCATCATCCGATTTCTCGTTTCATTTCAAATTATGCGCACCGTTCAGATATATATTATATATGTACATGCATTTTTGGCTTATCATTCTTTCTGTTTATATTTGTATAATCTGATTTCTTTCCTTCTTCTCTTTCAATTTGTTATTTAATATGTGTTTATATTTGTTATGTTATTTATATCAAATACATTTAAGTTATTGATAATATATATTAAACAATTATGTGTTTTTACAGTCATGTATTTGTCAATGAATTAAATAATTTAAAATGTTGTATTTTTATAATTTAATAAAATATTTTGTAGTCTTTTGCGTTTATGTTTTTATATATACTTACTAAATTTATTATCTCAGATGATACTTGTCGATCGGATGAATTTACCTGTGCAAATAAACATTGCATCCAACTTCATTGGGTCTGTGATCATGATGATGATTGCGGAGATGGCAGTGATGAAAAAGACTGTAGTCCAACTACCTGCAATCCTGAAACAGATTTTGCTTGTTCAGATAACTACTGTATTACAGCAAAGTGGAGATGTGATGGTGATTATGATTGTCCTAATCATTCTGATGAGCTCGATTGCAAGGTACAAATTTAAATCTCTTTTAATAAAATATATACTATTATTATTATTATTAGTTGGCATTAGGAACTCGAAAGTTCATTGCCTCAAATACCAAATCCCGCCATTGTTCCCGTCCCTGAGCGCGATACTTCCATTCGCGGTCTTCATATCCTATTTCTTTCAAATCACTTCTAATATTTTCCTCCTATCTATGTCTCGGTCTAGCTAGTGGTCTTTCCCGTTCGATATACGGACCAATATTTTATGCGTCGTTCGATCCTCCCCTATGTGCGCCACATAACCGGCCCATCTTAATTAGCGTGATTTTACGACGTTTAAAATATATACTATGTGATATATAATGGTATATATATATTGTAGATAATATAATAAATTATTTATTTTTTCAAGGGAAAAAATCAGGGACAAGGAATCACAAGCCATTGTGATAGGAAAGAATTTGATTGCGATGATGGTGTTACTTGCATACATCACACATGGGTATGTGATGGGGATAAAGACTGTTCAAACGGTGCAGACGAATCACCAAAAAGATGTCATAACATCACTTGTAGAAGTGATCAATTCCAATGCGAAGATCGACGTACCTGTATACCAGGTAATGTATAAAATACAAATAAGGAAGTTGAACGTTATATTTATAATAATAATATTTAATTTGATATGTTTAGGTCACTTGTACTGCAATGGCAAAGCTGAATGTTTAGATGGAAGTGATGAAAAGAATTGTTTAGTAAAAGCTGCTGAATGCGATCCAAAAACACAATTTCAATGCAGTGAAGCTTCGTGTATTCCTCTTAAAAATGTATGCGATAAGAAAATGGATTGTATTAACTGGGAAGATGAAAGTACCGAACATTGCGGTGTAGATGAATGTGCCAAAGATAATGGTGGATGTTCACAAATATGTATTGATCTTCCCATTGGCTATCGTTGCGATTGTAAACCAGGATACAAATTGATCGACAATCGAACCTGCGATGGTAAGAAAAATAAGTAAATTGATGAATACGTATTTAGAAAGATAATAATAAATAAAAATGTTGACATTATAGATATCGATGAATGCTTAGAGCCAGGAAGTTGTTCACAATTTTGTCAAAATGAAAAAGGAACATTTAAATGTAATTGTGCTCCTGGTTATTTGAAAGATCCTAAAAATTTAACTCGTTGTAAGGCAGCAGAAGGACATGCGAGTCTTCTTTTTACTAGAAGACATGATATTAGAAAAGTAGCTTTGGATCGTCAAGAAATGACGGCGATTGTCAATAATACAAAAATGGCAACAGCTTTGGACTTTGTTTTTCGAACGGGAATGATATTCTGGAGCGATATTACAGAAAAAAAAATTTATAAGTAAGTTTATGAATATTTCTTTTTTCACTTTTTATCATATCATCAGAATATTTGTTAAATTTCAAAATGATTTTTAGAGCACCGATAGATGAAGGAAATGACCGTACAATTGTAATAGAAGATGATTTAACCACGTCAGATGGATTAGCAGTAGATTGGATATATAGTCATATATATTGGACTGATTCTGGAAAAGATACTATAGAATTGGCTAATTTCGAAGGAAACATGAGAAAAACTCTCATCAAAGATCATATACAAGAACCGCGGGCTATTGCCTTAAATCCCTTAGACGGTTGGATGTTTTGGACTGATTGGAGTGACGAAGCTCGTATAGAAAGAGCTGGTATGGATGGTTCTCACCGTTCAGTAAGTATTTCTATTTAAATAGTACTCTGTTTTTTATATAATTAAATCTATACAACAAGTTACTGATATAATCATAATATAATAAAATTTTACTAGGTTATTGTTGGACATGATATAAAATGGCCAAATGGATTGACTTTGGATCTAATTGGTAAAAGAATATATTGGGTAGATGCTAAACTTAACTTTATAGCATCTTGTAATTATGACGGTTCAGGAAGAAGAACAGTTTTATTTGCCCCTGAGATATTAAGACATCCGTTCAGTATTACAACTTTTGAAGATTATGTTTATTGGACAGATTGGGATAAAGAAACAATATTTAAAGTTAACAAATTTACTGGTAAAGATGTAGAGGCTGTTACGTCAGTAAGATCGCCTCAGCAACCAATGGTGGTACATGTGTATCATCCATATAGACAACCTGATGGAATGAATCAGTGTCAGTCTGTCAATGGTCATTGCAGTCATTTGTGTTTGCCTGCGCCTAAAATTAATTCTAGATCACCTCTTCTAAGTTGTGCATGTCCGGATGGACTGAGGCTATTACCTGATGGATTAATGTGTGTAGAAAATGGTAAGTGATATAAACATTTAATCCATAATCGTTAGACTGTATTGAATGTTTTAAATGAAGTAGCATGAATCAATACTTTGATAAATGAAATTGCATGATTATTAAGATAGTAAAAACATATAATTCAAATAATGCAAGATTATTAGAAATCGTATTATCGCTATTTATTGTTATGTATGTTATTTTATGAATGATATATTTACTATAGTATTTCAAAAAAAAAAATCTGAGACCGAAATGAATTTAAAATTTTATTAAGTTTCTTAAAACAAGTCTTCTTATTTATTTCATTTATATCTGTTTTATTATATTTATTTGCATTACTGTTGCATGAATATGGAATATTGCAGTAACTACTACTGTAGCACCAACAACACAAGAAAATGCTAAACTATTTAAAAGGCTTGAACCGCTGAACATTTCAACGACTGTTCGTAAGTATATCTAGCATGCTCATCAATAGCTTTTTAATTTGTATTATCATTGTTAGAAATATATATATCACATTCTCGTATTATTAATGATATAAATTATATCTTTTCATTTTTGTTTGTAATTAAAATAATTTTTTGTTAATGTGTACTGCATATCACATAAATATTTTAATTTTGCGAATATATTACTCCTAGATTCAATAACCTCGATGGATAGTGGAAAAAATAATTCTACAAATGAATCAACAGACCCTGGTCTAGTTGCTGGTGTTGTCATAGGCGTGGTATCATTAGGCCTATTACTACTTGCATTAGTGGCAGTATTGTGCTATAGGCATTATCTTCATCGTAATGTTACAAGTATGAACTTCGACAACCCTGTATATAGAAAAACTACCGAAGATCAGTTTAGTCTTGAAAAGAACAGATTTCCCCTTCCCGCTGCTACAGTTGGTGAGGAGGTAGATATACATGTATATTTATTTATTTATTCATTTATTATTATTAAGATTATATGATGTTAAATCCGATTATGCATGTAAAGATATATATGTATATACGCGGTAAAAGGTATAGTACATTTAAATGTTTTAATAATCATCTTTGTTGTTGAAATATAGGCTCAGGAACCATTAACGAGTCCTGGAACTAATGACTACGTTTAAGGCTTAATTTGTCAATGAAATGAGATTAGCAGACTTGGAAAAGTGGTGATCATGTAAGAAAATCATGTAAAAACAGATGTAATGTCATTTACATCTAATGAGCCTGTTCAAATGTATGCCTGTGTCTGCCCACCTGCCTGCCAACTCAGCTGTGATTATGTTTATTTTTTTGTACTGTTTATTTGTTAACAAATTTTTGTGCATTATCATTCGAATATATTAGACATACATGAAACGTTTAGATTTGCTCTAAGACATAAAGGGAGAAATGTCTAGGGACATACATAAACACACACATGATAATTGCTATAAAGTAAGTATAACAAGGATAAAATTTTAAATACACTTCATCCCTGTACTTCTACATTTTATAAAAGCTAAGTAAAAAAAAAAAAAATACACAGTTTCGTCAAAGAAATCGTAATATAATATAACGTAGAGTTAAAATAGATATTTACAATATTGGTGATATTTTCTTTGTCTCTTTTTTCGCACACATTTACAATATTGATATATCGCATACTACTTATGTCCATTGTACATTTATTCTCTCTCTATATCTATTTTATAGATAAAAAAAATTATTCTTTCATATTACTATTTACAAGTGTCAATAATAAAAAAGATAAAGAAGATAAAAAATAATTATAAAAAAAGTGACTTTTGTTTTTAAAGTAAAAATATATATATATATTTTCCAAAACAACACATTTTTAACAGCAGATATTTAAATCGTAATATCAATGGATATTGATATGGTATGATGTCTATATTATTGGCTTAAGTAGAAGTCGTTAATGGTCTGAAATTAAAAGTAAAATTCAGAAAAAGCAAACGATAGATGATGATACGCAAACGTGAACGAAAAATACGAATTATAGTGATTTATGCATACATATTTCAACCATGAGAGAACAACAGCGATTTCTAGTTATTATCATACATATAATATTTTTTTCTCTCAGGTTAAGGTGCTTAATAATATCTATAATGTAGTCCTACGTAATTCTTATTTTTCTGGTCGAGCCCAATATTTTTTTATTTTTTTTTTCTGCAGCGTGATTTGCATGTACATTAAAGAACACACTATTATTGTTATTCATTAATCTAAATATCTACGTATACATTGTATAAAAGATATTTTGATTGTTATTAATTAATTAATGAATTATTTATTACACACAAGAATTTATTTGAAAATTCTTTATTTTGAAGGATGAGGGTGGTTCTATTGTCGGAGTCATATGTAAATGATGCAGAAATTAGATAAATGTATGAAAAAAAAATTGTACAAATTATTCATGTAAAAAGTGTATAAACTTACACGCATTTCAATGAACATTTGTTTAATTCGCAAAATTATTTAAATGCGATTAAACAAGTATCATAAGTGTCGTGATAAAACGTATTTTTTCAACTGTCGACCGTACATCTGCTTTAGTAATTATTGTAATGATCGAAGTTGATTTTCTTTCTTTTTCATTTTATTTTATTTTATAATTTTTTTTGTTTCTTCTTCTTTTGTTTCTATATTCTCTCTCTCTCTCTCTTTCTCTTCCTCTCTATCTATCTATCTATTTCTCTCTATCCATCCCTATTTCTCTTTGGTATTGCATAGATTTAAGAATCAAATTTCTTATATCTGACCCCGATAGTAGTTCGATGACTCAAATTACTAAAAACAGAAAAAGATTTCAAAATCCTTTATAATTTATAAAATCAAATTTCTCCTTTTATGTCAATTGTAAAATGCATATATAAACAGTTTTTAGCATTATCAATATTTCATAATATCTGCCTACGTTCTCATATGTGGCCCATATCATGATTAGGAGACACTTTTTAGTAATAGTAAGTTAGTAATCTCTTAAGTGTAATAGTATATACATATACATATACATACATANTATATATATATATATATATATATATATATATATATATATATATATATATGTATATGTATAAAATTACTAACACCAAGCAGATGTCATGATAAAATTTAATATAAGAACATTAAAAGAGTGTATCTACTAATCTAAAATTTGTTTAGATATTTCAACCAGCCAATGAAATCAATGTACATGTATAGAACTAATGCTCCTAATATACAAATTTTACGTACTACGTATATATGTATATATATACATATAAATAATTATATATATATATATATATACATACATATATGCTTTACGATTATTATATTAGATAATTAAATGTTTCAGAGACAAATGTTCTTCTAATTAAGATTATAAAGAAGTAATGTAATGCTAGACTCTAAAATAAGTCATACATATTGAAAAATAACAAAAGATGCTTAAATAATTATTGCGGAAGACGTGTTATATATATATATATATATATACATGTATGTATATTTACTTTAAAAAATAATACTTATACATAAAGAAGCTTTAAATCAAAATCATTATAAAGATTATACTTTGATATGATTATGATAGCTCGATAAATTGAAACAAATCGTGCAATAAAAAGAAATGGTTTTTGCAACTAGGGCTCGTTTTTAACTATAATTATTATATAGTAATGAATACTTGTAGTTAATTAAGATAACATCTTATGTCATTTGTTAATATGTATGACGTTTAAGTACGACTGCAAGAAAGCAAAGTCCAAAATTAAATAGAGGCTCGGTGGTGATTCCAATCAAAAAAATTAGTAAAATTAATGAATGCGCATTAGTCGCATTTGATGAATGTGCGAATTTCATAAAGGCAATATCCTGTCCTAACCAACCTATCTGCCAAAATTGTGTCAAACTTTAGCAATATATTATCACTACCACATCTATAATATAAATATATATATATATTATATATATAATTTATTATAATGGTTATTGTATAAATAAATATATAAAATAAATCTCACTATTGTCATATTATCATTTTGTCTGTACAAAAATTAATAATTTTGTAAATAAGTACTTTAGAAGAAAATATATCACAAGAACTTTTTATGCAAGAGTTAAAAATATATATATGTATACGTATAAAATATACATAAACAAAGCCTCTCAATAATAAGTTCATTAGATTTCCGTTTTCATTTGCATTGTACTTATTTAACGTGTATACATATTTATATTCAAATGAAAAATTTCATTATTATAAAAAATATCATTTTCACAGATATGCAAGAACAGTAGAAGAATATTTTAAATACTATTTATTTTCATTATTATTATATTATCATACAAAACAATATCCTTAAGATCCTAATTCAGTATGAAACATATCTATCGCAGGATCCTCACATTCGCGCGTTATTAATATATCACGAAATTTATCTAATATTTGCAACAATTGAGATCTTCGAATGTTTTCTAAATACATTATTTCTTCCAAATGATGTCCACCATTAAAATAACCGAGGCGACACAATTTATCAAGTAACTTTCTGTCGTCCGATGGAATATCATAACTTTCCGACGGATAATTAAAAAATATATCTTTTTTATGTAAAGTATGCGACAATTCTTCTTTTATATCGGTAATTATTCCTTTACTAGTTTCATCAAAATCCCAAGAACTTTCAGCTTCGTCAATATTATTTACATCAAAAGTTGTTTGTTCCTTCGAGTCCTTAAAAAAAAAACAAGTAATCTATATTTATGTTTATGCACATGCAATGTAAAAATAAGTTATTATACTAACCGGTAATACAAGACCATGCACCGTTGGCATATATTGAACATATGTATGTAGTTGCAAAAGCAAATGATTTTTAAGTAACCATATGATGACTTTTACTAATTGAGTTTGTTGCTGTGGTTGACTTAAAGGATTTAATTTTTGACTGATTGACGTTGGTAAGGAAAAATCGCTAATGACCTAAACAAAATATGCAATATAAAATATTATGAAATTTTTTAAAATTATTAATATATCGTTCTGTGCATACTTGTAGTAGACAAAGTCCTGGAAATTGTTCTGAAAATGCTTCCAATAATTGATTAGATAAAACAGCATCCGGTGATACAACATAAACGTTACTCTCGCAAAGTGGATAAATTATTCTAGCTTTAGCCCAATAAACTAAATGTCCGGTTAGTTGAAATACTTGTGTTAGTGTTAAATCTGAATCAGCAGCTAATGTTTGTATACTCTTTAATGGATTATACATTTGAATTAGACGTCTTAATGCTGGAGAAGAATCTATTGGCAATGAATCTAATAAATCTGAAGGTTCAATTAACAAAAGTAGTCCATGGTATGGTCTTAAACTGTTTAAACATCTGTAAATAATTATTAATATTATTATTATTATTTTCTTAGAAACTATGCAAATACATTTATGTAAAATTATATTGTACTAACCTATCAATAATCTCAGGATTAATAAAGAAACCTTTCTTATACGATTGGTGTACCTTCTGTGGAAGACAAAAGCGCACTTGTATCCATTTATTGATCATAATATTAATTATACCGCAAGTACTAAGACTACTGAAGACTGTTTTTAAATTACGAGCTAGTAAACTTTTTTGTAGTATTAATTCATAAGGAGATTCATCACTGTCGCTTTCACCCTCAGATCTAAAAATATATGTATATTTATATTAACAATCTAAATTTACTATTAGGCGACAAATGATTAAATATATGTTTTACCTAGCAGTAATTTCATCATGAGTCGATACCATAATCTTAATTTCATCTGTTAAAAAGCCACATCTTTTTTCTTCGTGTCTCAATGCGATACCCAATCTTAAACAGAAGTATACAATTAATCTCAAATATTATGACTATTAAATATTGGTCACAACAAACCTTCTGCTTAAATCGTAATAACATTTTACTACAGAATGACTTGCTTGTGCTTGTAAAGCAAAGACAACATTAAAGAGCATAGAAGAATTGACTTCTTTAAAACCACGTTGTGGTATAAGAGTAGGATGTCCAACAAAGCGAACATCATTTACTTTCAATTCAAATTTCTGTTCGCATAATTCCGGTTTTACTGCAAATAACGTTGAAAGTACTTCATCCTTTAATCCGGTAAGATTTCCATTGTTAATGTTAGAAGTTGGAAATGGCAGAGACTGCTAATGAAGATCTAATAAGAAATTAATTACAACAACAAATCATCACATAATTTAACGTAATAGTTACTAAATTCACCTGCAATAAATCTTCGCTAGTTGTCAATGAATATGGATTTTTACGTTTTGTGCATTGTTTAGAATCACGTACGTGACTCATCATATGTGGATATCGAAATAAAAGTCTGTCACCTTTGCTGTCACTTTTGACAAGTATTACACTTAACGGATTGATTTCCATGATTCTATAAAAAAAAAAATAACATTTACTTTTGACAATAATTTACAACCAAAAACGTAAATAATTAATGTAGACGTAATGCTTCTTTCAACTTGAATTAAAATAATAAATACCTTTGTAAGAGTAAAAAAGGATACTGATTAAATATTTTTATTTAAAAAAGGATTGTTCGATAAAACAACATTTATAATAAACTACATTAAATTCTAACTTTTAACAAATAAATTGCAATGCCGAACTATCCTAAATATGATCATTTACGTAAATATATTCTATAACAAGAATCATTTACACGCTTGCGCAAAGTCCAATGAAAGTGCATTGACAGTTGCAGCTAACCTACAAACGAATGTCATTAAATTATGCCTACAAAATAAAACATTTTATTTATTTTTAATTTTTACATTACCTTTAATAATATTATTATAAATTAAATGATAATTGGGCTAATAATATGATACAAATAAATACAATAATAAAAATTACTTAAATATGTTCTTAAAATGTAATAGAGAGAAGACAATCTGATTGGTTAATTTAAACATATTTTTTAATAGTTCTCACATCGAATAGTTCTTCTACATATATCTATAATAAATAGATGATATAAGAAATATAATATAAATAATAATAATAATAATAATAATAATAATAATTAATTAATGATATAATTGTTAGGGACATTTGTTTATTACACTTACACAGATATGGTGTATTTAGAGTAACTAGATTGGGCTTGATAACTGCGGATATAAAAGGTGCGTTTAGATGATTATATTGAATTTTCGAGGAAGGAATAAAGGGGTGTAATTAATATATTATATTGTAGGTATATAAGTGGAAGATGTGATGCTGCTTCTTAATAATGTATCTGAATTATGTTGTCCGATAGAACCTTTTTTCGAACTACGTTTGTGAGGAAGAAGATTCAATGGCGGTAAATTCGGATGTTCTATTCTCGTTGGAGAACTAACATGAGGACGCAATGTACCCCTTTGTATCGTAAGAATACCTACATTTAAATCAATTATTTCTATTAATAACATAATAATAATATATACAATTAATTTCTATTATATATTTTTTTTAAATAACAAATATTTATTATATAGAGGGTGTCAAAGGCTTTACACTAACACCTTTTACCTGAAAAAGCCTTAGGTACCCTGTATATATAATATTATTTTCATACTATAAATATAATAATAATAATATTATTATTATTATTATTATTGTATAAAATATAGAAAATTGTATATTATTTTTATTTTTTATATTATATTTGTATTTTATTTTTATAATTAATTTTAATTAGAAACAAAATTTTTGTATTGTATTAACGAGATCGGTAACTATTTTTAATATTTATTTAATTACCTGAATCATTAGGCTCCAAAACATCGTTTAATTGATAATATTCCGTTTTAACTGATAAGGGCTCCTCATAATCCACAAAAGCAGTATTATCAAAAGCTTTATCGTCCTTTGGACGGACACATACCGGAGTTGTAACCGGAGGATCGGCATACGTCTAAAATATAGATTTTAACATTTATTAATCAAATATATTTACAGATCGATCAATTTGTATTAACATAGCTTTTTTCAATTAGAACATCTACCCTGTTATTCTCTACTTTCTTTAATTAATTTTAATTAATTACCTACCATGTGTCTACAAGTCATGCTTCTAATGTAATCTTATATAGACAATGGCGGTCAAAGATTATAATTCCAATTATAAAAATATAGGACAGGTACTTCGAGGTATGTTTATATAAAAAAAAAAAGGAACTATTACTATATAATAATTTTATTTTAATAAACTAAAAAATAAAAGAAGTGACAAAATAATTAGCAATTATACTAAATCGAATGCTAATCTGTCTTTCATGCATTTCTTTTTTGTTTGATGAGTAGCAAATAATTTCGTAGCGTCATATTATTTGACCGCCACTGTATTTGTAGATTTATATATAAAAGGTTCGATCTAGAAAATAATCCAAGAATAAATATCACAGTGGATCATCATTTAATTTATGTAAAAATTATTTCGAAATTTTCTTTCTTTCTTTCTTTTTTGTTCTATTTATGAATATTACGCGTATAAAAAAAATTATCTGTATGTAATTATTAAACTGCGATTTTTATTCCACCATAGATCCTCGCAAGGTGCTATGCTATTTATTTCTTTTTTTTTCTTGTTGTTCTCTATTGTATTCGAAAGCAGCATCGTATACAAACGTAAAATTGTTAAATTGCCTTCAGTTTTACATGTTCGGTTGGTGTTGTCGAACAAGCGCGCTTGTGAAATTGTCCACCGCCGATAGTTTCGTAAGTGTGTTCTTCTAAATAATGTCTAGTGGTACCCCGTGGTGTTAGGGTTGCCCACATAACACGACTATCTTGCATGGTATCAGCAGCGCAAGGATACAAAACAGCTTCGTTTTGAATTCTTCCATTTTTCGTTTGCATACCGGTTGTTGCATTTGGCATTGATATTACGCCATTTTTACCGCTTCTGTTTCTACCAAATAAAAATATAAAAACTTTATGACATTGATCATTTTTTCGATCGATGCGATCGATCTAAATTTTTGAAATAATTACAATCTCTCATACCATTCGAGATGATTAAGGATTTGCGTCGGATACGCTATATATAATAAATATTTTTAATTAATTAATACTTACAATTTACATTTTAAAAATAACGTTGCCAATAATGCGCCAATTAAAATTACACCGATGCAAGATGATATCAGCACTAACAACCATGTGTCGTCAAAAACGGTGCCTACAAAATTAATAAAACTAATAAATCGAATATTTACGCTTATTATAAAAAGAAAATTTAGTGAAGTTATTTGCTAAGAAAAAAAAAATTAATATCCAATCTCTGTTATTTACCTTGCTGTGGCATTTCGATATATTGCACCCCTTCGAAACGCCGATCGCATAAGTGTTTGCAAGGACTATCATTGAGGTTTGGCGGGAAAGGCAAAGCGCCTAAATTTGGATAAAAGTCCGAACTTTGTTGAAGAAATTCTGGAAACGGTGGTGGCGGTATATGAAGTATGTCTGGAGGTGGACCAAGAGGACAAGACGAACAACTAGAATTCTTCATGATGATCCCTCCTATTTCAGAATTTCTCATCTATTATTATTAAAAAAACAAACCAAAAAGATTCTAATTTCTCATTATGCATATATCATTAGCATACAACACAATTAACACAAATTATCATATCGTCAAACTATATTTACCTACATATAAATATAGGCAAACTAAAAGTAAAAATAAATTTTAATATTATGCATAAATATTCTATTATTTCTGCTAATTGTTTATGTCAAACATTAATAAATTCATACATAACATTACAAATGGGTATGTATTAAATCAAGAAATGTTTTATGTACGTAATTCGTTTTTAACACTTTCGTAACTTCGAATAAAAGTTCAAGCTTTTTAATTAGATATTTCTGAGAATTATTGACATTACAATATAATAACAAATGAATTAATTAAGATTGAAAATTCATTTTTATTAATGTTTCAAATGTCTAAGAAAAAAAAAATAGTAAATACACGGAATGATAATAAAAATGGTATCTTACCCTGAAACAGCAGCCCTCCGTTTCCGTAGCATCACAACGATCACTGAACTCTACGAGATAAGGGCGCAAGCGTCGTCGTATTGAGCGGGGGCGAAATTTTCGTGGTGCATTTGGCTTCCTACACTTTATATACAATATATATGTGTTGTGAACCACTCGTTCGTACATCTACATATACTATGTATACAAACACGCGTGCGCTCGCCAGACAAAAAAAAACTCAATACACTTTGAGACGATAATTCTAATTCTTTCAAAATATTTTTAAGCTTCTCAACAAGTTTATCAATTTCTAAAAATAAAGAAAGAAAAATCTTTAAAATTTTTATTTTTATTAATTTAAACCATAAAAAAAAGTAATTTATTTATACTATATTAGAGATTTAATATTTGAAATATTTTATTGTGTTAAAGAGTAGGTTTTTTTGCACAGTTGATTGATAACTCGTAATCCTTTTTTTCTTTTTAATATTTATTTACAAAATTATGTTCACATTGTTTCATCTAAATTATACTACTTTCTAGAGTAATGTATAAACAGACATAGAAGAATAATTGCTTTTATTTACATATAAAATCGATCTTTCATGATTGTATTTTTTTTTTAATTTTTATATATCATAAATTATCCAGATATTATGCAGTACGTATAAAAATGATCAGAGATTATATCATATAGATGTATAATAATTTTTAATATAATCCCCAAAAATATTTTAAGCTTTTTAGATCTCTTTTCAATGGTTATAATTAAAAATTTGTAATATTTAAAGTAACGTTAGGCAGTTATAAATCTTTGTTATAGTTTTTGTTTTTGTATCCTTTCTTTGTATTTCGTTGTACAAATCTTACAAAGAAGAAAAAATATTTGTAATTAAATATTTTTTCTAATTTATTTCAACTAACTAAAAAGATCAGTTCAATTTTATAAACTTACGAATGATTTATATAGATAATAATAAATAAATTAATATAATATTCTATATATGATTTTAAAATATATAATTAACTATCTGAGACTGAGTATAGAATATTTTTATCAGTCATTTTACTTATTCAAGTTCATCCTTAAAGATAATTATTTGAATTCTCAATTAAAATTCAATTAAATTAACTTCTTTTTGTACTGGATTTAGTCTAGCTAGCGTATACACAACTGATGTTGTAAAAGATTGTACATGTGATCTAAAACTGGATGCAGGTTCCCAAGCTTCATCCCTAATGATACCTTGATTTCTAAGGTGCATTAATAAAGGATCTTTCCCTGTTTTTTTACACAGCGTTTCTTGAAGTAAAATTAATTGAGATCTCCAATATTCATAACTGGCTCGTTTAAGAGCAGAAACCCATTGTTCAACCTGATCTTCAGAGCGACCACTTAAGATATGTCTCTTTTCGTGCTCATCACGAAAAGATATACTAAATGCAAATGCTCCTTCAAACATGTCATGATTAATACTGTAATTTTCCAAAACAATAACTCCAGCTGCTTGACGGTTATCAATTTGGCCTATTTCATTGATATTAAAATAAAATAATAAATTGTACTTTAATTTGAACCATCTTTCTTTGGATCCTGAAAGAGAATGATGATTTATTAGTGTATCGAATGATTACGTAAGAGCATCAAGGACGTTATAAAAATAATACATTTTTATTATCAAGGTAATATTTAATTTAATTTCTATGCACACAGCACACACACACACACACACTTTTAACATAATTTTATTATAAAATAAAGCATAACATGATAATATTAAAACAAATATATATAAAAAAAATGTCTAATTAATTTCTTAACAAATTTAATACTAATTATAGTATATAATAAATTTATATTAAATTAAATTAACCTGACTTGTGTGCCCGCTTATGATTTAGGCGGCCTTCTAAATCGGCGGTGCCATTACTTAATTCAGCGAGTTCTTTTTCGTTAAATTTCATTTGGATTATAATTGTTAAACAAAGGCGTTAGTTATGTCAATAACTTTAAATATACTACATGTATACATATAGAGATAAAACTATATTTGATAAACTGTCAGAGCAGTATGACTCAAACAACAAAGTAGTATTATATATAATGCGTATAACCATTCAATATTCGAATCAACGGTAGTGAACAGTGCTGCCACCATTGGTTAATATTATTAATTATTATGGCATATACATTGGAGTAATAGAAGATGGGATAACAGTGGCAGTCGAACTATTATCTAGTGGAATAAACTAGAACTAAATTTTACTATTTTAACGTTTTCCTTGAAAAAAAAAAGAACGTAATTTTGTAGTTATTCATCTTTCCATAATTTTTACGTAAAGAAAAAAGATTAATAAGAATTATTTAATTTATCGAGGTGGCGCGCAAAAGTTCCATATTATTTCGATACCTTAAGAATTGTCAATCTTTTGAATCGCTTGATATAATCGATGACTTAACTGTGGAATTACAGTTTATGTTCAAAATATTGTACGTGTGAAATTACATGTTTAGATACGAATTGTGTAATTTTTTTGTCTTCCTCGTGTTTTTCAAAATAAAAGGTTATTGTTAAATACGATTATTCAGGTTTTCATTGCAAGCCTCATTAAAAGGATACTTAATTATGGAGATATCCAAATTTAACATAAACAATGTCTTAAACTATATATGCGCCGTACAAGTATAATATAAATACTATGTAAGTATTATAATTGATATCTTTAGTTATATTTTCTTTCTTATAATTATTATAAAACTTACGGTATTCGTACGAAGATTCGTTTACATTTACTTTTGTCTAATAGATAAAAAGCTATTTTATTAATGTACAAATATTTGTGTTAATTTTCTCTTCAGATATAACTACGAGATTTAAAAACAGAAATTCAATAGAGCATACTTAATGGACATAGCGAATGAACTTACCCAAATTTTCTATATGTCACATTGGCTTTTTCTCTATAATCATGATAATGTTTGAGTTTCTAAAAAAGCTATTCGGATGGGCAGATGAAGGATCAAGGAAGCGTAAAGCCAGTGATTCTTACAACTGTGAAAAGGAGTATATATTACCTAAGAAGCAATGCTGTGGTCATAATAAAATTCTCAACATAAAGGATTTTTTTGAAAGTGATGATAGTGAAAATGATGATGTTGAATTTCTGACGGAAACGAAATATTCAAAAAATTCATCCAGTAGACTAAATGGTACTCATAGTAAGAAATGTTACTCATCTTATGAGAATTTACCTTCTACTTCCATTTCTAAATCTCCTTTTTCTACATCTAATTGCAATAAAGTAAACATGTTATATTTTGCAAGTAAAGAAAACAAAGTAGGTAAAATGAACATGGACAAATGTTCTACACTTATGAATACTAATCAATTAAAGCAAAAAAATCAGTATGGGGAATTGCTGCAAAATTTTCTTCCACATAGGAAATTGAATGCAGTGCAAAGAATGTCGGACGAATGTCAACCTAAACAAAAATGTGATAAAGTTATTGAAATAGACAAGATTATTAAATCAAGCTCATATAAACCACAAGTTAAGTCCAATACTTCATCACCCGCTTGCTGTTCAAGATTGTCATCAACAAATACAGCAACGAAAGAAAACGAGAGAATAGTTCCTATAATGAAAACAAATAATGCAGAAGATTCTCTTCAATCAACTCCCAAGGAGATAGAAATTATCAAAGTTATTAAACGTACAGTTGCAAAGCCTATACAAAATAATTATATTGAAACTATAGCAACCAATTCGTTACGTGATAAACTGGCAGCTAAATTTGTAACGAGGGAAGATTTTGTTCCGCAAGTAGAACAACGCTATAATGAACGTATTGAACAACGTAATAAAGAAGCTAGAGAGCTCAAAAAGATGACGTGCGCCTTATCAAAACAAAATCAATTAGCGCTAGAAACAGCTTTGGAAGAAAGATTAGCACGTTCTATGAGATTATGCGAAGTGGTATTAGATGAAACGGAGGAACCAGAAGAACCACCATTACCTACTCTTACGGATGAAATGTTGAAAGAAGTTAAAAATGCTTTTGTACCTAAACCACCTGACGAAGTTTTAATAGAAGCTCATGGATTGAGGATAACAAGAAAAGATATTAATACTTTAGCAGATTTAAATTGGTTAAATGACGAAGTCATTAATTTTTACATGAATTTATTAATTGATAGAGCTACAAACGACAAATTTCCTAAAATTCATGCAATGAATACATTCTTTTATCCAAAATTACTTTCTGGTGGACATTCATCTCTAAAGCGATGGACAAGAAAAATCGACATATTTGCCCAAGACATTATAGTTGTTCCTATACATTTAGGTATCCACTGGTGTATGTCAATAATTGATTTTAGAGATAAGTCTATATGTTATTACGATAGTATGGGTAGCAGTAATCCTAAGTGTTTGTCAGCATTACGACAGTATCTCGAAGAAGAAAGTATGGATAAAAAGAAAAAATCATTTGATACAAGTGATTGGAAATTAATATCCGCTAAGAACATTCCACAACAAATGAATGGAAGTGATTGTGGTGTATTTTCTTGTATGTTTGCAGAATATATATGTGCAAATAGAAAAATAACATTTACTCAAGAGGATATGCCGTATTTTAGAAATAAAATGGCTTATGAAATTTTGAAAAACAAACTTCTGTAAAAAGCAAAAAGAAAAAAAGAAAAAAAGAAAAAAAAAATTGTAATTGTTATGGAGTAAAAAGAAGCACAATAATTTTTGATTTGAATATACAAAAAAAATTCATCATTATCATAATAATAAATGTTTTTCTATTATTTTAACACATGTACATTAATTATAAATTTAAAGTTAAAAGAACTATTGATAAAATGTGATAGTATGTAGTTATTTAATATTACTTAAAGTCCTCTCTCGTTTTCTATCACATTTATTCTCTATTATGATAAAATATATATGATAACAGCTATGAAGAAACAAATATAAAAAATGAAGTATAACTCCGATGCATACATAAGTCAGAAGCTTAGAGTGTTTCGTAGAAATTATTTTTTTTCTCTCGTTAATTAACCATATACATAAGTAGTAGTATTACTTATATAATAAATAACAGAATTAGTTATTTAATAAACCATGAACAAATCAAAAAGGACTTATTTATAAAAAATTAAAAGAAAAAGAACAATTCCTTTTACAAGTATTTCAGTACTATGTTATATTGTAATCCATAAGTAGCTGTATCGCTAAAAATTTCATTCAAATTCAATATTTCATTTATTAGAAATTGTATGGGATCAATTATATGTATATGCAAAATTTATTTTTTATCCAAAACATGGTCTATTTTTTTGTTTTAAATCATTCCCTTTAAATGTTTTATTGTTAGTTTTTTTATATCATTGTAATTATTATTTTTTATTAATTACATATATATATATACATGTAGGCATACATTCATATCATATATAGACGTGAAAAGAAAGTAGTGAATCATATAATATTAATAAATACATATACATATATACACATATCAATATATACATATATATATATGTGTGTATTGTCGCTTTGATAGTTACACTACTGATACATAACCTCCAAATTGTAGAAGAAACGTCAAAGATTGCCGGCAACTAAGTTTCATAATAATTTATTTTATTTGAAATCAAAATGAGTGAATATAAGATTATTACGTCCGATTTTATTAATTTGAGTATTACAAATTCAGGTACTCAAAATTCTTGCATCGAAAGAAGATTTCAAAAGGGTATTACAATCGATGAATTTAAGGTACATGTATTTAAATGAAAGTTATTTTTTTTTTCTTATTTTTATATTTAATATAAAAATGACAATCCTTTATTTGTCTTCAATTTTAGGGAAAATTAGAATTACTTACTGGAGGAAATCCAACAACAATGACTATAGAAGTATACGATAAAAATGATAGTTTAATTTGTAAATTAGCTGATGGACAACGACTCTTAGGATCATATCCAATTGATGATGGCATGAGAATACATGTATAATATATTTGCAAAAGAAACAAACAACGTTACATTTATTTAAATTTTAATAATCAAATCATACAAGCGTTTTAATAAAATTGTAGGTTATAGATAATTTTTCACGTACCGAAGATGATCTGAGTAAAGTTGAAAAATTTGAAATATCTGAAGAGGAGTATGCTAAAAGATCAGGTAGAAATTTGTATGAGTTTAAGAAAGCAAAATTAAATAATACGAATGACATTTTCAGTCGATATTTTCTGCAGAACATTATTTTATGAAAGAATTATAATTTGTATATTGTAGATACTGTTAAGGCATTTTTAGCAAAAAATAAGTTGGGAAAATACAACGAAGAGGATATGAAAAGAAGAGAGGAAGAAAAATTACGGGAAGAAAAAGCGGAAAAAGCTGCAGCTGAATTATGCAAAATAGGTGATAGATGCGAAGTTAGTGTACCAAATCAACCTAAACGAAGAGGTACTATTATGTACGTTGGTAAAACAGAATTTAAAGAAGGTTGGTGGGTTGGTGTAAAATATGATGAACCGCTTGGTAAAAATGATGGAACGTAAGTAAAATCAGGATAATCTATATAAAAAGAGAATATTAATATGTTAAACAATATTTTATTTATAGTGTAAATGGAAAGAAATATTTTGAGTGTTTGCCTAAATACGGTGGATTTGTAAAGCCAACTCATGTTAAAGTTGGAGATTTTCCAGAAGAAGACTTTGATATGGATGAAGAACTTTAATATATAAAATAAGTAATTGCATCTTATTCTTTCTTTTTTTTTTTTTAAATTAAATACAAATGTTTAATTAAAAGTAACCATACAGTTAATATTATCTTAAATTATTATAGAGTTGTTATTTAATATTTTCTTCGTTTTATTATGTCAGGTCTCCAATTGACAGGATGAGATTCTTCAGTCTAAAAATAACATCAAATAGTTTATATAAATATAAAGCCTTTTTTGCATTTTTGTAATAGCACTGTATTATTATATTTGCAAAAAAATATATATACCGCATCATTGTCTTCTTTGTAAACTTTTATTGTTTTGTCCGCCTCTGTAGTAATCATACGAGTACCGGATATGTCAAATGTAATACTAAATACGCCAGCTTCGCTATCCATTGAACCAGGTTGAACTAGTGTTTGTAATCGTTGGAAATTATATCTACAAATTAAAATAATATATGCAACCAAATTGTAAATTAAATTAATAAATAAAGTAACATCTTTAATTATAAATTTAAGTACACATTGAAAAGTAAATTTACCCTGTTCTCCAATCCCAAAGATGCATAGTACCGTTGTCTGCACCAGAAACTAATACTCCGTCTTCATTAACGGCTAAACAATGAACTATGGCATTGTGTCCTGACAGATTTTGGATAAATTTTCCTTCTGGACATTTCCATTGTTTAATATTATCTGGCGATGCAGATGCAAACATATACCTACGAATATACGAATGTTTTTATAGAGTTATAATTTTGTTAGTAATTATAAAACATTTTGAAAAAATAATACAAACAATGATGGATGGAATGTAACTGCTCTCACACTCTTTTTATGATTCGTTAAAGTAGCTCTCGATTTGCCTGCTGCTAAGTCCCATAAACGTATAGTACAGTCTTGACTCCCTGTAATTACCTAAAATTACAAATATAATTTTAATGCATTGTTTATAATAGCATATTTATTTGTATATTTATTAACTTACTTGAGGTTCTGCAGTTTGACAAATAACACTGGCAACAGTATTAGTATGACCAACCAGGGTATGAACATTAGCTTTAGTACGCATATCCCAAACTCTACCTGTGGAATCTCTACCTGCTGTCACTAATACATCTATACTAGGATGTAAAGCCATTGAATAGACAGCTGACAGATGACCATGATAATGTCGAATAACCTACAAAATAATACAAGATTTTATAAACAATTTCTAAAAATAAATATTTATATAATATAAGAATATAATAGAACCTTATTATATTCCAAGTCCCAACATTTAACTTGACGATCTTCACCGCAAGAGAATAAATATGGATGCCTTTGTGAAACTGCAAGTCCACGAACGCAGCTTATGTGCCCAGTTAAAGATACTTTTAATTTACCTGTTGCAAGATCCCATATCTAAAAAATATTAATCTTTAAAACACTATCATTTTTAAATAATATCAAAGAAAACAAAATAAAAATATTCTCATACTTTTATTACTCTATCCGCAGATCCAGTAGCAAACCATTGGTTTCCAGGTTCAACAGCACAACATCGTACCCAGCCAAGATGACCACTAATTACTCTGTACAATTTCCATGGCGCGTGCCATTTCGGTTTTGCCATAGAAGGAGCTTTCTTTATAGGTACAACAACCGCAGTATTAGTAGTATTATTTCCTAATGTGGACGTTGTAGTCGCTACAATACTGCTTGGTGTTGAATGGTATGCTATAACTGAGGAAGGAGCATTTCTACCAAAGGATTCATCTAAAAATGGAAATAAATAATATTATTAAAACATTATTATTATAATGAAATATTAGATGTAATTAAAAAATTCATACCTCCTGGAGGCGGTGGATCTGGATTGTCATTTTCGTTTTGTACTTTTGTCATCATATTGTGTTTAACGCGTTCCATTACAGGACCATAACAATCCTTTGCTTTCACTGATTTTTTCATAGATTGACTATAAATAAAGTATGCAAATAAGTCAAGAATATATATAAAAAAAAATGTAATAACAATTAATACTTACAGATTTGGATCTACAGGTGGTAAGGTACCTTGATTTAATAAAAACATATCGTGTGTTCTTTTTAATGATCGAAATACAAGTGTATGTACAGAATGTCTTTGAACGTCCTAAAATAAATAAATTAAATAATTATTTAAATTAAAGTTAATAAATGAATAAATAAATAAATATATATATATATATATATACATATTTATATATACAATAAATAATTATTATATTTACCATGTTGTATGAATAATAAATCACAGTAAAATGATAATCCTATTAGATGGAAGTCTTAATTTTAGGTTAGGAATTATAACCTCTCGTGAGGGATCATACGTAAAGTGTACAAGCGATATCAGTGGTAATAGTTGAAAGCTTCAAGTAAACATTGCTGTCCATTAAATAAAAAATTTGATAAAGTTAGAAATTAAAATTTTTAATTAACCTAAAGTATTACTAATGAATCATTAAATAAAACATCTAATCATAATGATTCGTTACGTGTATATATGAAGGAATTACCAAAAAAAATTACTAGGTAAGCAAATAGTGACAACAGAATATCGGCTAATTTCACTCCACATCTGATACAATTTTTAATATTTTATTTTTCTAGGGGAAAATATAAAAGTTAAAAACACTAATGAAATAAACAACTTGTTTACATTGCAGAATAGCAAGTTTAATGTATGATTTCGTGTTTATCGCATAGCTTTCATTATTTATAGTTATAGGAAAAATTTTTTCCCTCAAATAAGCATTTTAGCGACAAAGTACAAACAAGGATATACTAAAAAGTGCATAATTTAAATTAAACATTATTTACTTATCCTATATGATAATATTTTAATTAAATATATCAAATGCAATGAATAAAATTGCATAAATTTGTTATAACCCCATTTGAATTTATTATGCAGCATGTTCTTTTTGCTTTTTTTGTTTTTTAGTTTCAGCCTCATCGATCGGTGCAGGCTTAACAAAAGGAATTTCTTCTTCGTATTTGGAAGGCATATAATGGGCAAGAACCTTTGGAACCTTAATACCAGTTTCTGTTTGATGTACTTCCAATATCGCGCATATTACACGAGTAACTGCACACATTGTTGCGTTTAACATATGAACATAATCGGTTGCTGTATTCATTTTCTTAGTTTGACCATATCTGAAAAATATGATTATATATGAATAAATTGCATTTAAAAATATTTAAAATATTAACTTTATTAAAATAAAAATTATATACCTAACTAAAAGTCTTCTAGCTTGATAATCTAAACAATTACTGCAGGATACGAGTTCACGAAATGCTCCAGAACCAGGAAACCATGCTTCTAAATCAAGTTTTTTAGACGCTGCATGATTAAGAGCACCAGAAACAATATTCACAATGCGATAGGGTATTTCAAGTTCTTTATAAAATTCTTCTGCGTTATTTATCATCTCTTCCATCATTTCCCACGACTTATTATCGTAAGGTGAAGTTAAACAAAATTGTTCTACCTACGTATAAATATGTAATTAATTTTTCTTATAAATATATATTTAATATACGTAATGCATAGAATATTAAAATTACCTTTTCAAATTGATGAACTCTAAAAATTCCCCTAGTATCTCGACCGTGCGATCCAACTTCTTGCCTAAAACAAGTAGAAATTCCAGCAAATTTAACAGGTAAAACATTTTCTGAAATCCATTCGTTTCTATGAAAGGCAGCAATGGGTTGTTCCGATGTAGCTATCAAGTATTTTTCTTCTGTATCTTTATCTTCATTGCGTTCGCTACTTTTACCAATGACCTGAAAAAGAATAAGTTTATTCATTAATATATTTAACTATTAAACAATATCTTATACAAATTGTAGTATAAAAATAAATAAAACCTTATATAATTCTTCGTCAAACTGAGAAAGTTGGGCAACTTCTTGCATCGCGTCCTTGCGCATAAAAAATGGGGTATACAATGGTTTATAATCTTTGTCAAATAATTTTTTTAACGCTAAATCTATAAGCGCTTGTTGAAGAAAAACAGCAGGTCCACTTAAAAAGTATCCTCTTCCACCAGAAACTGAAGTTCCACGTTCCCCATCCATTCCATCAATCATATGTATTAAATCTACATGAGAATATTTCTTTCTTTCCGTACAATCTCCATAAGTTCTTTCAATCTATAATTTTTAAAAAACCTTCATTAAACATATGACATAATTCAATATTAAAATCTAGTTATACATATATATACATATATATACCTTATTTTCTTCTTCGTCATTACTGACCGGTACAGATTCATGTAAATGATTGCCTACTTCTCTAAGTGCACTATTTCTTTCCGATTCAGTTAAACTTAAATTCTCAACATTTTCTTGAATAGCAGTGTCAATCAAAGCACGAATACTTTTAATCTGTTTGACAGTTAATGGTTTGAGATTGTCAGATACAAGATTATCTAAATTGTTAGATATTTCATCAGGTACTACGTCACTGTCACCGATCGGCTCTTTCTTTTTCATTTTTTCACCTATTTCTTTGCTACATAAATTTTTAACTTTATTTAAATTGTCAGCACGGTGACGCAGCTGTCTCCAATATTTGTCTTTTTCAATAACCAAATCTACCAATGCTACATCCTTGAAACGTTTCTTTTGATTTTCACGTATTTTTTCAGGATCAAAACCTTTGTCTTTCCGAAATAGATCTAAATCTAACACCATTGTTCTATTGAAATGTTTTAACTTTTTAACTTTTTAATATAAAATGCAACGTCTACTCCACGTGGTGTACAATACCGACTGTACCACTTGTTTTATGACGTGTTCTTAAACTCTATATTTTATGACTGCAGATCTCTTTCTTTGCATTCTCTCCCACCAAATACCGCAATTCAAACGCATACACATATAAAATATCGTGTCTGTGTAATTAATATGAATAAAAAAAATAATTATATTTTAATTAAACAATTGTGTATAGATTTTAAAAAATACAAAATATTTTATTAATAAAATTAATATACAAATATACACAAATTTATAAACAGATTTATGATCTTAATTAATGTATACGATTATATCAAAACGATATATATATAAATGCACATATGAAATTAAAAAATTATAAATATAAATTGTTAGTATAAATAAATTTCGTATCATTCACACACACAAATGAAAAGGAAAAAATTAAAATTGTTAATCGATAAGATTCAATAAATATCAAATAACATTATATGAAATGAATAGTAAAATTGCATCATAAATATACGATCTAAAAATAATCGTGTCGATAAAAAAATCTAAATCACAGATTAATTTTTTAATATCTATACAGGATATTTTCCATAAATTTGTCCACTTCTAGTACGTCGTACGATCCATTCTTGAGGTTCGAAAGATTTATGTAAAACTCGCGGGCTTGTTTGCGTACCTTGAGACTTCTGGGAATGTTCAGAGCGTACTTTCGTGGTCGAAGAACCCGGCAAATTTAAATCCTTCGATTGTCGTAATTTAAGAGGAATATTGGATTGGAGAATTTCTTGAGAAAAAAGTGTATCACCACAGGAATGCAAAGAATTTGTTATCCTGGAGTTTGCATATACCATCGGCAGATGATCTTTAGGTCTAAATTAGATCTATTATTCGAAAGATGTCATTTTTTAATTTTACAATTTTGAATCATTGTTCATTCAATTCGTGTAAACTTACATGGAAACATTCGTAATCGAAGGATAATGACTGGTATCGTTTTTAAACACTTTTCCAAAAATAATAAGGATAATAAATAGTAGAGCACAGATACAAGGAAGAGCTATTAAATCTGGGGATATGTTTTTAGAATTATTACTACGTGCTTTGGATTCCAAATCATCAATTTCATCCTCGTTTGATTTTCCAGACCATGGGAGCTCACGAAGAACAATATCCTTTTAGATAAATATATAAAAATAGAAAAAAAAAACGAGAATATAAGAACTACGTTTATATTGTCATACGAATATTTATCATTAATATTTTTTGAGGTTAAATATTTATATATATACGTACACGTATGTAAATATAAATTTCTGGTAGTATCAGTTGTAATAGACAATACACATCACTTACGCTCCCCATTATAATGAATATGTTGTGATATTAAATTAATCAATTGGTTAATACGTACGTCACGATTATGTTTAATTTTCAAGTGCAATTTCTTATCAGATTTTCAATGTGAAACAATTAGCGATAGTCACGTGTCGATGGTAAAAACAATTATATGAAAATATTAATTATTTCTGTTAAATAAGATAAGAAATAAAATAAAAACATATTTTCATCACTTTATTGAAATTTTGTACAAAGTGAATTAAAAATCATGTTTGGTTCAAAGAGGACGCAATTACCATTTTTCAGTGGTTGCACCTCCCCAACTTTGAACAGCAGCAGTTGGTGTAGTGGACCATTCTTCTGGAGCCTAAAATTATACGAATAAAATATATAGCATTCTTTTTCTCAGAAAATAAGTATAATTACATGTAAATATTATCTTCTAAAGATTAAATATACCTGGGATGCCCAATCACCGCCAGCTTGGAATGCTGGTGCAGCAGCAGCAGCAGCTGGAATTGGTGTTGGAGCTGGTGCTGCAACTTCATCAGCCCAACTTTCAGTTGGAACGGCATCAGTATCGACTTCATTAGCCCAACCAGGTTCAGCTGCAGCTGCTGGCTCAACAGGAGCGACGAATTCTTTAGCTGGTGCAATTTCTTTGGCCGCTTGTTCTTCTTTTTCAGCCTACAGAAAGATTGAAATTAATAGGTTACGATGTGTATTCTATTAAACGTGAACTTTAAAGAAAGTTAAATAAAATAATCAATATATAAATATACAAACCTCTTCCGGATCTCTGTAAAAGAATAAATCAACAACAACATCCCATTTGGTTTCACGTGGGATTGAACCTCTTAGTCGTAGAACTTCTCTAGCAAGAAGCCACCACATGAGACCAACGCTGTGGAAACTCTTGGTATTACAAGGGATAGCAATATCGACAAAACGTAGAGGCGAATCGGTATTGCAAAATGCAATAACAGGAATATTTACGTAACTGGCCTCAGTAATAGGTTGATGGTCAGTAGCCGGATCAGTTACAATGAGCAAACGTGGTTCACGGAAAGCAGCCTAAAATGAATAAATATATTTACTGTAATATTTGTTAATATCTTCACTCGTTATTATGTTATCTTGTTGTAACATCAGAAAAGATTAAGCCAATAAAACAACAAGTATTGATTCTGTAATAATTGTTATCATCATGTATAAAAACAAATGATTAATATTGAATAATTATAAGTAAATTTCACAAAGTTTAGTACCTGGATCTGATTGGTAAATGCACCAGGTGTAAAACGTCCAGCAATAGGAGTGGCACCAGTATGTGCAGCGAATTTCAAAACTGCTCTTTGTCCAGCTGGTCGGCAGCTAATAACTGAAACTTCACTGGGATGTTCAATGGCAACCACGGCGCGTGCAGCCAATAATAATTTCTCCCATGTATGACGAAGATTGATAACATTTACGCCAGCACCTATCAATTAATATATTCTATTGATATCATTTTATTTTTCAATTTATTCAATTACGTTGTATAGATATATTTACGCATATGAATGTACCTTACCGTCAACTCTCTTCTTATACACGTACTGTTCCATCTGAAAATTAACATTTTCTGCACCTAAATGAGTGCATGCAGCCAACATTTTGGTTACATCGTCCTCTTTGAGGGCCAACACTTCTAGACCTCCTGACATATTAACGTTGTTTAATTATGATCAACCTGTAATATAAATTATAATTATAATATATTTACAATAACAATTATAACTATTAAATAATTTTTTAAATTAAGTATTATTGTATATTTGCAAATTATTTATAAGTGCATGTGTTCATCTTAATCATATGTAAAAAAAAAAATTAAAAAAAAAAGAGGAAGCTAACCTCATATTATTGGTTATATACAAAAATTACTTGGATAAAAAAAATTATATTATAATCATCCCTCATAATTACTTTGATAATATTCTAAGATCACAATATATATAAGTTTAATTATACGAAATATACTTTATAAAGTACATATATATTTCAATAAGTAGCCACGTGTATCGGCTACTTATATAAAATAAATTACTAATTTTTTTATTAAAAGTACAAGTTATTGTGAAAAATTAATTAAAGAGTATATATGAAAATATTAAAAGAATCTAATTATACATAAAATTGTTAATAATATAAAGAAAATATAATAAAATAAAATAAAAAAGCAGCTTTTAACTTACGTCGAACACGCCTGAAGAGAGGTATGCGAGTGAAGAGGAAGTCTCTCTACTAAGTTCAGTTAAGAAGCTAAGATGTAGATGGAAACCGAGACTACGTTAGTCATTTCATTGTAAAAGTTAATTGGAAAGTAATAATTTTGAAAATAATAGGTAGCAATATTAAATAATTATTTATATAATTTTTATTTATAAAAAAATGTATTTAAAAATTGAAATATATTGAAAAAATCATGAGGGAACTGGATTTGTTAAATTTTAGTTCAAAAAGTTAGTATAGTGAAATATTTAGTAAATTTTGGTAAGACTGATAGCCACGTCTGATGAATGCCTTTAAACGCCATAAGGGTACGCCACGTTCATGTCAGTTATTGTCAGTAATACATTTACCGGCTCGATTCTAAGAATTAATAGAATAATCATAAATAATTCTCTTAGATAAAACTAATGACAAAAAGTATGTTTCGAAGTCATTTAAATAGTATAATATGGAGTACCATTGCATTGCTTTTGATTTTACATATTCGTTTTCTTAATGCCGCTGACCTCGTGGATCCGGATTTAAGTTTGAAGATAGTGGAAAAACATATCGATTTGCAGTCACAATTGACGAAGATAACAACGAGAATAATATTAGAAAATGGAAGTAAAGATCGACAGATAAGACAATTTTTATTTGCCATTGATCCTGGTCACAAAGGCACTCTCAGTTACATATCTGCTCAACGTGAATCTGGAAGAATAGAACTTAAAGTTAAAGAAACTAAAGTAGACAAGCATCCAGATAAAATATTTTACTCTATCGATCTCAAAGATGCCTTATCGCAGGGTCGTACTATGTCTGTAGAAGTAGAAACTATATTTACTCATGAATTGATACCGCATCCCAAACAGATTACGCAGAAAGAAAAACAACTTATTAAATACATTGGAAATGTTTACATCTATAGTCCTTATACTGTTGGAAAATTAACTACAACTGTATCATTACCTAGTCGTAACGTTGAAAGTTATTCCAAGATTAAACCTGTATTCCAAAGTGATTCGACGATTACTTATGGACCATACGAAAAGTTGCAACCATTTTCTTATGAGGAATTAACAGTACATTTTGAAAATAATAATAAATTCCTCACAGTTACTAGAATCGAAAGATCTATTGAGATATCTCATTGGGGTAATATTGCTGTAGAAGAAAGCATTGATTTAGTACACACTGGTGCTCAACTAAAGGGATCTTTTTCTCGTTACGAATACGCACGCGAAACTAAAACCGGACAAGCAAGCATTCAAAGTTTTGATACTATTCTGCCTGCTGCTGCTTCTGACATTTATTATAGAGACGAAATTGGAAATATTTCTACATCGCACACACGTATTAAGAAGGATTCTGTAGAATTGAATTTACGACCAAGATTTCCATTATTTGGCGGATGGAAAACACGTTACACAATTGGTTATAATGTACCCAGCTATGAGTATTTATTCCATTCTGGAGATGAATATGCATTGGAAATGAGATTATTGGACCATATTTTTGATGACATGGTTGTAGACGAGTTAGTTGTCAAAATTATTCTACCAGAAGGATCACGTAATATTAAATTAACTTTACCATATCCAGCTACACGACTGCCAGATGGCTTACATTATACTTACTTGGATACTACAGGTCGTCCTGTCATTTCTGTCACTAAAAAGAATTTAGTTGAAAACCATATTCAAAATTTCAAATTGAAATATACTTTCCCTCGTCTTTTGATGTTACAAGAACCATTACTTGTAGCGCTTGCATTGTATTTGTTATTTTTGTTGGTCATAACATATGTTCGATTGGACTTTTCTATTGATAAAGATGAAATATCAGAAAGTAAATTACGTATTGCTGGTCAGTGTGAAAAAATTTTAGCTGCACAAGACCGCCGAGTAACCTCGTACAATGAATTAGATGATCAATTGAATTACGTAAAAACTAACAAAGATGCCAATGCATTTTTATCTGCTGTAAAGAGCATTAATCAAGAATACAAAAGTGCAACAAGCGCTGTTGCCGAAATAGCTCAACGTTTAAAGGGAGAGTCTGGAGATATGTACGAACGTGTTCAAGAACTTCAAAAATATGACAAACTATTGAAAGAACTTTACAACCAACAACAATCACTCTATGTAGATAAACTAGTACCAGGAAAAATTGGTCGTCAACAATTCGTTGAAGCAGAATCAATTATCAATAGAAAAAAAGAAGAATGTGTTGAAAAAATCAATGCCATTGTTAAATCACTTCAATAATACTACTTTCATAAATTATGTGTTTAACACATTCACTGTGTTTCAGAACAAAAGACTTAGTAATAATGGTGCATTTGCAATACTGTAAGATTATTATTACATTTGTAAATTAATCTAATATCAATTTGAAATGATGATTAAAAAGACTTACTAAAAATGATTCATGCATGATTAATATGGTACTTCAATTGTATTATAAGATTTTTAATAAAGAAGAAAGTAAAAAATGGAAGAGAAAAAATAATCAATAATATAGCCCTTTAATAAAAGGATCGATGCGTTCACATTTGTAGAAATTATTTCTTCTAATAAAAAATAATTAATATAATTATACAAAAAAATTATAATTTAATATATTATTGTTGTAACTACTGTAGTAGTTGTGTATACATTTATGTAGAAATTTATTTCATTTTTCAAATAAAAATTAATATTACTTTAAATCTATATTTTTGTTTTTTTTCTATTATTATTATTATTGTTATTACTGCACTATACAGTGAAAAATGAATTAATGAAAATAACAGGAAAAGTATCGTAAAAACGTTTCAATATCGATAGAGGAATCTCGAATTCGTTATCATATCACTTTTTCTGGGTTGTCACCCCTGAAATTTATCTCTCGTTAGATCTCGCAAATGAAGTAGTTGCTCTAACACAAAAATTGCACCAATGATAGCTAAGTACTACTTGTAACGTATGGGAAATGAAAACGTCAAAGCTTTGGAAACGGTACAATCGTCCATGTGTCAACTCATAGAGCCGGTTAACTAAAGGACACCTGCTAACCTCTCAGGGTGTGCCGTGCCTTTTTTCGATTGTCATTCAATATTCATATTTTATGCTTGCTGCCAGAATGACTAATTTACGAAAATTTATAGGTACCATATTTATTTATATATATTTTTTTAAATTATTTCACTTCATTAACGTAATTATATTATAATTATTATAATAGTTACATGTGTGTAAAAAAATATTTCACAAAGTATGAGATTACATCGTTGTGATTATTAAAGGAAAATATTTGAATAATTTAATATTTTGGCAGATATTGGAGCAAATCTAACCGATCCCATGTATCAAGGAATTTATCATGGTTCACAGAAACATCAGCCAGATTTAGATAAAGTACTGCAGCGCAGTTGGGATAATAATCTTTCAAGAATTATTATCACTGCGGGTAATATAGAGGAGAGCAAAAAAGCTTTAGAGATAGCTAAAACGGATGGTGAGTTTTTTTATTTTATTTTATTTTTGTTAATTAACTAAATGAGCATGTAAAAAATTGTTGATGACAATGTGCCAAAATATTAACTAAAATAATAAAAATAATGAAAATAAATGGAGCATTGTTACTGTCGCGTCTCTCTATCAGGAACAACATAAAGCTCTATCTATAGTACATAATTCTCATGATTATGAGTTTATAGATTTTATGTTATATAACATAACTTATATTTATTGTCATTAGATCTTTATACGATAATTGTGCGAGAAGGAAATGCTGAGAGAGAGATGCTATGGTTGCTGTGATTCTGTTCTGTATCTGTGACAAGAAAATGCATGCGAATGGCATTACACATTTAACTTATGCTATTATACAAATATTTCTGAGGTATTACATTTTTATCTTTATTTTATCAATCAAATTTAATTCTCTAAGCTGAATTATATTTCAATGTGTTTTTCAGAAAGATTATTTTCGACGGTTGGTTGTCATCCAACTCGTTGTAACGAGTTTGAAGAGTATGAAAATCCAGAGGATTATCTCAAATCATTGTCAGACTTAGCATTGGAAAATAAGGACAAAGTAGTAGCCATCGGAGAGATGGGTTTAGATTATGATAGATTGCAATTTTGTCCTAAAGAGATTCAAAAAAAATATTTTGAAATGCAATTGTCTTTGTGTTCGATCTTAAAATTACCGATGTTTTTACATTGTCGTAACGCCAGCGAAGATTTTGTACGTATTCTGAGAAAGCACAAGGATAAAATAACTCCCGGTGTAGTTCATTCTTTCGACGGTAATCCGGAAGAAGCTAATTCTATTTTACAATTGGGATTGTACATCGGTATTAATGGATGGTAGGCAATTATTGTTTGTCTTTTACATTTATTATTATTTAAACTTGTATTTTTCAGTAATTCATGTTAACAGTTCTCTCAAAACAGAAGACAACCTATTCTCGATCACATCTATTCCGTCAGACAGGCTTATGATCGAAACGGATTGTCCTTGGTGCGAAATCAGAGCAACTCATGCTTCGGCGAAGGATGTTATTACTCATTTTCCTTCTGTTAAAAAAGAGAAATGGCAACCCGATCGTATGGTCAAAGGAAGAAATGAGCCCTGTACGATAGTGTAAGTAATTTTTACTATTAACACGCGTTTTACAAGATTTAAAGAAAAGAGAAATATATTATTTATATATTCTTAATTGCAGTCAAATATTGGAGATACTTGCTCGTATCAGGGATGAAGAGGAAGAATATCTTTGCAACCAAATATACAAAAATACAATGAAAGTATTTTTTCCAAATGATTTATAAGGTGTGTCGCAATGAATGAGTAATAATTGCATATTTTTCAAGAAAGCACTGTTCATATGCATTTTATATGCGTGCCGTATTTATTACGAATAATCAGGGATATAAAAAAAAAAACCACGTTCTAAGTAAGACTAAAAGTTTACCAGAAGCATTTACTGACAAATAACGAAAAATATATATATATATATATAAAAAAGAAGAAAGGGCAAAACTCATTTTTACACGCATAGCTTTCGTGGTTATTTTCGGATACCACATTCCATTGATCTCTTCCTTCACAAAACTACAATATAATAAATAAGCATATACGAGCTAATTTTTTGGTGCATTTGGTGCAATTGTAAAATAAATCTACAAACCTAAATTTGTCCAAAAATAGGTTCACGTGTGCCTACTTATTTTTGTTAAAATTATTGCTATTGCCAACAACAACAATCACCTTTTGTTAATCAGATGCACTATCATTGATATTATCATAATTCTTATTCTTCTTTATATTATTATTATTATTATTAGTATCATTATTAATTAATATTATCATAATTATTAATAATAATTGTTTATTGCTAAGTTTATTAATATATTATTTGTTATTCCTACGATTATTACCTGTACACTTGTATTAAATAATGATTGCTAAATTTCATAGATTATTTGTCTGTTTTTATTATTACTACTATGAAAACATTTACAAATTGTAATTTTTTTTTTTTTATTAATTTGTTATTCTATGTAATGTTATTTTAACATTTAAAAAGTATAATTTTTGAATGTCTTTGTGAATATATCGGAAAACATAATAAATTTTATTTAATATGTTATTTGATGAGTATACATAAAAAAAAAGAAAAAGGTTTTCCAAATACATTAATAAATATTACAGAAAGTACTTAGATAAATGTTATTGAACTAAAATTTTGTCTTCATTAACAGACGTGTTTCGTTTTTGATACTAGTAACAAGTTAAAAAAAAGATTTCATATCTACGTATATAATCATCGTCGATAAATGTTCAATATGTTTCGGAAATACATATTATAAATGCCAAGATTTGGATAGGAGACACATTTTTGGAATATCACAGGTACGATGGCCGACATGACATGATCATTGAAACTATACAACCTTTCTTTCATTTCTTAACAAATAAATGCAGAGATAGAAGGAGATTCCATTTAAAAATAATGAAATCAATTGGAAATTATATAACTCAATTATTTCATGAAACTTTTGAAAATGATTGTACTTTTTCGTATACCCAATCGTAAGTTTGACTGGCGTATGTCTGCGTTACATCTATAGCATGATTGGCATAATTTTGAAGATTTTCTGGACTGAGTTTACCGCTAAAACAAAACAATAAAGAAATTAATATTAATAAAAAGAAAAATAAATAAACTATAATTATTATAGAATAACTTAATATTATTTAAAAACTTACACGAAAACATTTGTTTGTAACCAATGGCTTGCAAAATGGAAATGTTCGATAAGTTTTTCTCCGGCTATTATTGAATAAGTTTTAACGAGTTGAAGCCCTCGAATGCTTTGCTTTTTAGTTTCTTCAATAATTCCCGGAAAATAATGCTCGATCTGCAGAAGAATAAACAATTCAAAGTTGCGTTTAATAAAAATACAAGCTAAATTAATTTAAATATTTATATAAAAATATAATTTAATAAATAATTTACGTGTATACATACTGTTTCATGAACCACGGGTATATTTTTTTCTATGCATAATGCTACATTATTATACAATCGCATAGAAAGATTTCTTGTTATCAGATACAAATCAAATCCTAATTTAATGTATGGTGTACAAAAGTCAGCAACAATTTTGTAATATTCTGGTGAACTATTTTTTATAGTTTCACCTATTTTATTGGTATAGACCTTAGTTGTCGACCATAATTTCGATGTTTGTGCAGTTATTCCACTACTTCTTAATAATTTTCCTGTATCTGAAGCTAATAAGAAAAAGAAAATAATAATAATAACAAAAACGCACAACATAAATACTATGAAATAGGAAATAATTAACTGTTAGTAATTAGATAACAAAATTATAATACAACTTACCTTCAAAACTGCCATGTTTTTGACAATCATAAGTTAAAATAGCACCAATAAGTATTAACAAAAATAAACTTCCTCTTTTCCAAGGAAATTTTTTATCGTTGGAAGCAGTCATTTTCTTTAATATGGCCTAAAAAATAAACGCAAATAAAAATTTATGATAATTAGTATTATAAGGAGGAAAATCAATATGTAACGTCAAGGTTTTTCAAATCGTATTAACGGAATTACTATTGGTAAGAATAGGAGGAAGAGAGAAAGAGAAAAACGAATTATTATCTAATAATCTTCTCTTTCATTAATTACATATTGTAGATAAACAAGAATAAACGATAACAAATATTACATCGTTAGCTTACCTTCTAGAATTAAAAATTAAAGAAAATCTAGGTCTAATTGTATTATTAAATTCACGTAGAATAATAAAGAACAGATCGTTAGAGAACTGATACAAGCGTACATACGATGTCAATGTCGTTACTGGTGATGACGAGGGGTAACGTGCGATCGATAGTGCGCATACGAAAACAACCTAACCTCTAAGGTTATTAATACGTATAGAAGAAAAAATAATAATAACTCTAATCCAAACAACTCATAAATAAAAATTAAAAAAGATTTAAATGATAACGATTAACATTTGTTTACACCACCGATTGTTTCGAAATAATAAACAACCAATGACAACGCGTATATACATTTGTCATTATATTATTGGACCACGCTATTTCAAAAGATTTTTCAATTGGCGCGCTTGTTTTTTAAATTATAATCAGAATTTTGAAGAGAACTTACAATTTTTAAAGTTAAGTATTTTTAAGTAAAGTTAGAAGTTTACTTAAATTTCTTTACTTTATGTTGGTTTATGTGAAAATACTAACTCATTCTACTTTCTGGAGCAGAATTTACGACCTAACTGGACTTACATAGTTTATAGTTTAGTTTAGTAGTTATCTTTTCTACACAATAATCGGTACTATCGTATTCTATGATATTTCTATATTTTCATCATCTCTTTAAAATATTTTTAAAATACTTTTTTCTTACATTTAATACTATTAATATATATAAATTTTTTGTTACTATATATTTCGTTACTTATTTATTGCCTTTTAGATTATAGAAAAATAATACTGAATTAAAGTTTAAATGTTAAAATATAAATTATGCGATCAAACATTAATAGTAATATTCTAATCGCAATATCTATTATATTTATATAGATAGTCATAATTCTTTTGTATCCTTGTATGCTCGAGCATAATATTTGTAATAGATTGTCAAACAAATTATAATTACAATATTCAACTTACGTCACGTATTTTGATACAAGAATTAGCAAGACTTTCTTCTTTCCCCTTTTTCCACTTTTCGTTACTATTTTGGAAGAACAAAAGAGTTTCTTTGAAAGATTCTGTATTTAGATTTGATTTTAAGGAATCCCAATTGTTTTCTGTTAAAAAACAAAAGAAAATAAAAATGTTTAATCACTGAAATTTAATTTTATGTAATACAAAAATATATATATATTCTTACCGATATATGTTAAAAGAAGATTAGATTGATATAAATTCTTTAGATAAATAGATTTCCAAGTATAAAGGCAACGGACATCTGTAATAATACAAGCTGCAAGTGCTTTTACTAATTCATCTCTATAGTTTTGATTTATTTTCTGGTTGATTTTACCAATCAGTGTTTCAAAGAATTTTGAATCATTTATTTTAGTTTTATTTTTGAATAATATCAACTAAAAAAAAATTAATTCATATTGATAATAATAACTTTTAGCTATTATTTTTAATTTATATATATATATATATTAATTTCTTTGTAAAAAAGAAAAAACACTTACTCTTAACTTTTCTATGCTAATATCTATATCCTTTCCAACGGTTAGAGGAATGTTATATTTTCCAGAATAAGTATCTTCTATTATATTTAAATAAAGTTCTGGAGTAAGATCTTGTACGTTTTCATGGCCAAAAACAAGATCATTTAGAAGTTGTACAACATAGTTGGCATAACTTTTAGTTATCAATAATGGTGACATCACTTCGTGCCACACCTTCAGGCCAACGACTAAATCTTTTTCGCCGGCCTGCGATAGTGCCCAGAGTAAAGACAAACCTATGGCTTTTCTATTTTGATAAGAATTTCTTACGCTTATTAATTTAGGAATATTAGCTATGGTCATTTTTGGATTCAAACGAGCCAAAAGTTGCAAAAATATTTTATGACCAACGACGGGTGTTCCTTTGGCCATATCGGTAGCCATGGCAGTTAAAGTAATTTCATAAAATAATTGAGCCGTTTGTTGACCCGCCATTGTAACAGCTCTTTCCATGGTAGATGATATTGATTTTGGTACAATACTTAATGGATAATCTTTAGGTTTTCCAGAAAATACAGCATCTTCTTTCTCAATTGGTATCTTAACATTAAGATACGCAACGAGATTCTTTAACCATATTAGTGGAGCTTCTGGATACTGGAGTTTACCAGTAGTTAAAATATCTGAGAAATCGTCAGGATTAATCTGTAAATATAACAAAAATGAGAGATAAATATTAAATTGTAGCATAAAAATCCAATGGAAAAATAAAAATTATACGCATATACCGCATTAAGAGCATCTTTTATCGTCTTTGGTGGTTTCTCCTTAGGTTCTTGTTTCTTTTTCTCAGTCTGTTGTTGCTGTTGTTTTTGTTGCCTTCTTCTTTCCTCATTTTCTTTTGTCTTATTGTCTTTTTCCTTAACTAATTTCTTATTTTCCTTATTGCTCTCCAAATTGTCGTACAAAGTTTTCACTTGATTTAACGGAACTAAGAAAAAGAGATATACTATTAATAATCTTTCACGCTTTCACTTAATGAAAGTTACTCTTTAATTGGCATCTATAGTGTATGTTTGATCATATAATCAAATATATTGTCACAATTATGCAAATATTAATAGATATGAATAAAATATTATATCATTTTAATAAATTTAATTTAAAATTGACAATAAAAGATTCATGAAATTTTATCAGTAAAAAGAAGATAGAGATAAACTATAGATAAACATTGAGTTAGGTTAAACATTGCCTTACGAAAGTCTTCGACTTTTGGAGCATTTTCGATAAATTTCTTCTTTTCTGCTTTCGTTAATTTAGTTGCTTTTCCATTACTACGATCTTTTTTATTTTTTCCAACTACTTCCCAGCCACCAGATGACATCTTGCAAAGAACGTGGTAAACAATAAGGCAAATGACAACACTGTCTCGAAGGCACTGAAGTAGCGTTTGTTGGCAGTTTGTTGCCGACTGAACATTTTACGTGGTCGCGCATGCGCATTTTCCTATTTGCCACGCGCTGCACTTTTACTCTGTTATCGATGAAAAAAAGAAAAGGACAGAAAAATCATGTTCCATTTCCTATGCACATTGTAAGGAATTGGAGTAGACATTTCCAATTATTGAGAAAATTAAAACGATGAAAAAAATATTTACGAGAAAATAATAAAATCATTTTTTTTTTTCATAATATAAAATTTAAATAACAACATATTAACGAAAATAATCGAATTATACCCTCTACGATTTTCATATAATCTCAACGATCCAAATATAAGGTTATTGATTAAGAATATTTATATAATATATTGTCATGTTTTTCTTTCTTTTTTTTTTCACTTCGTTTCAGAAATTTATATATAGAAACAGAGTTAACGTTTATATTAATAAACGATGACGCGCGAGCGCGGATCTTTTAGATACGTCATTATTTTTTACCTTTCTCTTTTATATTACTCAAAAAAACCTCTTCTATAATATAAACAAAAATGTAATACATTTATTTTGAAATGATTTAGAAAATATTTTACGAAATGCAATCGGAAAGCAAAATAAAATATTTCGAAATTTAATTTTTCATTTTGGGTATATTTAAAAATGGCCTTGTTAAAAAGAAAATTAAAAATAATCAAAATAGATTAAGTTTTTATAAAAGTTCATTTTAAAAAATTCTTTTTTTAAATTAAATATAATTTATAAATTTGATATACGTTTATAATCGATTAATTTTCATTATATTGCTGTAAAAATTAATAGAACTTATTATGGAGAAAATTGCATTATAACGATCGCAGTTAAAAAAAAAAGAAGAAAAATGTAAAAATAGAAAAATATTTTTACAAAGAGATATTGATAGGCTGGTATGGGGGGCGTTAAAAGTTTCATATTTCATGGGGGGCGTTTTGTTATTATTTCGCTGCTAATGACAATCCAACTTAGTCGACTTGGAGCTGTTGGCTCATTTTAACCAAAATGGGGATACCGTGGTTTTTCGGTTTCTTTATCATTTTTTTGCTGGAATGGACTAGTACGTGAATGACAAAATTTTAGCACCATATTTTTAATAAATTTATACAGAGTGATTTTTTAACTATTATCTTGTTTATAATTTAAAAAATTATACCTGATGTGATTTAGAAAACAATAAACAAAAAAAAAATACTTATAAAAATGTGCTAAATTTCATCTTTTTCTTTGTCTTCCTCTTTGGTTTTTTAATTAATTATTATTATTAATAGATACATTTTATTTTCTAATTTGTAGATGCTATCAAGGACCCATCATTTATTGGATGCAAACTTATCGAGCATACTTCGATGATGATGAAATTAAAAAATCACCTTTTTTGTGAATATGATTCAACCGTTCGACCTACAACCAATCATCAAGTGGTCACTAATGTTACAATGGAACTCGTACCGAGGTTTTTAGATTTTGTAAGATTTTATTTAGTGCAAATTCTAACATCAAATTTTAATTATTTAAAATATAAATATATCGTAACTTTCTTTTTATTTATGTTTTATTTTTTAATTAGGATGACTACAGCAGTACGATGACTCTTCACAGTTGGATGATTCTTGTAAGATTCCATATTCAATTTCTTTTTTATTCTTTAAAAATATTTTTATCTTGATTTTATTTTCATTTTTATTAACAGAACTGGAAGGATGAACATCTCACCTGGGATCCTAGTAATTTCAATGGTATTACTTCTCTTCATATAAGCAGTGATGAAATATGGGTACCAGATTTATCAGTTTATAATTCGTAAGCAAATAAAATAGTTGAAGATTTGTAAATGTGTTCTTTTTTTTTAAATTTATTTTTATTATAATCAAATGATTAACGTTGCAGGGGTGATATGTCATTAGAACAAAATGGTGTTCCCTCGACCAAATGTTTGCTCATCAATACAGGCTCGGTCATGTGTATACCGGCATTGTCATACGTGACCAAATGTATCACTGATTTTACTTTTTGGCCCTACGATAAGCACGTATGTCGTATTAGGTTTGGTTCATGGTCGCACACTGGAGAAGAAATTAATTTTCATTTCGACAAAAAAGGAGTAAGTTTGTTTTTTTTTACGAAAAATTTGAAATCTTGAACATATGAATTTTTTTTTCATAAAAAAGGCAATTATTAAAATAATGATTAATTATAGTACGAGATGGACGGTTATGTGAATAATACGGAATGGAGTTTGAAGATCTCAAGTGCTACGAAGACCGTAAAAAAATTTGATTGTTGTCCTAACGATACCTTCCCTATACTTATTTATACTTTTCTTGTAGACAGACAATCAGGAATGGTACATGTCACTGTTGTTACACCTGCCATAAGTTAGTTGATCTTGATAATATTAATCAAAATCACATTTAGAATATTCTTTTGATCGTTTATAATTTTTCTTTTCAAAAGCTATGGTAGTGTTAACATTGACGGTTTTATGGTTGGACTCAAGGTCGACCGAAAGAATAGCAATGGCCGGTATAAATTTCATTTGTCATTTTCTTTGCCTTTTTGATTTGCATTGGCAAGTACCCCATAATGGTGAAAATGTACCACATATTTGTAAGTATCTTGATAAATTAACAGTTCGATTGCGCAATATTGAAAGATTTCATTAAAAAGTCTTAACAATTTCAGTATTGTTTTATCGTGATTCTCTTGCGTTAGCTGCATTCGCATTGATCTTGACAGTCTTGCTAAGAAAATTACAAAATATGAACATGGAAACACCAAGTTGGATCTCATCAACAATCACTTTCGTTTTGAATAACAGAGCTGGACGTTTTTTGATCTTAACTGACGATGAATCGAAAACCTCGTCTACTGGTATATTGGCCAATGAAATGGAAGAAAATTCAGATTTAACGAAAGTAAGTGACAGGAAGAAGGAATCATCTTGGAGACAATTTGCTGCAATCGTCGAATGGTTGTCTTTCATAGCTGTTATTTTGACCTACTTGATTAGTTTCACTATTCTTGTACCTTCTAATTAGAGTTAAAATTAATTATCAATAATATACTTTTTAATGTCTTCTTTTTACGACAACCAAAAAAAAAAAATTTGTACATAAAATTTATTCATTGAATTATATTATTATATTTAAAAATACACAAATGTATTTTGTAATTCTACTTAATATTTATAGTATGTACATTGAATAAATTACATATATTCTTAGTTATTATAGAAAATACTTCTTCCGATTCTTAGAAACCCTTTTAATATTTAATGTGACAAAATATAGGAAGCCAAACCTAATTAATAATAATAATAGTAATAATAATAATAATCATAATAATTAAAATAATAATAATAGTAATAATAATAATAATCCTAATAATTAAAATAATAATAATAGTAATAATAATAATAATTATAATAATTAAAATAATAATAATAATAATGATAGTTTATTCAATAATTATTATCTAATACATAAAGAAATAAACGAAGTTTGATGAATTTTGACTCAAAGATTGTTCCCATCAAAATAATTTCGACTTAATTGAAATTAACTGGTTATTCCAATAATGTTATGGTGTGCATATATATATATATA